AAATAGAAGCCATCCGTGCACGAGAGATCCTTGATGGTCGGCTCGCCGAGGCCCGTGCACGCCCTCCCCCCGCCGCGGGAGCTCCGCTTGGGTCCTCCCCGAGCGCCCCACCCCACGCACCAGTCGCCCCGGATGAGATCCGGGGCCGCACTCGCTCTCGTAGTGCCGCCCTCCGCGCCCAGAGCGCGTCACGTGTTTTGGGGTCAAGTAGCCCCCCCGATGGATGCCTGATGAGAGCCTTATTCTGGAACATCCATGGTTTCGGCCAAGATGGTCGACGCTGCCAACTCATTGAGTACATGCGCACCGAGCGTATTGACATAGTGGCCATCCAAGAAACGATGCGTACTGAATTTTCCCTGTCGGAACTTGAGCCTTTGAGCTCCGACCTATTCGCCTGGCACTGGCTCCCTTCTAGTGGGATCGCAGGCCACTCGGGTGGCATCCTCCTAGGTGTGAAGGATGCCACCCTTGAGGTTGGGGGCATGGACCGGGGAGAGTTCTTTGTAAGCATGGAGGTTTTCGAACGATCCCTAAACTTTAAATGGGAGATCATCGCGGTCTATGGCCCGGCCGACCACCGTACGTCGGAGACCTTCCTCGCTGAGCTCAGAAGGAAGGTTGCGTCGGCCCAGTTTCCGGTGGTAGTTGGCGGAGACTTCAACCTCATCCGGACGGAGGAAGACAAGAGCAATAATCTAGTGAACTTTCCTCGGATGCAATTATTCAATGACTGCATCGCAGATATGGGGTTGCGGGAACTCGATCGGGTAGGGGCCAGATTCACTTTGACTAACCGCCAAGTCGATCCGACTCGCTCGGTCCTCGATCGAGTTTTCGCCTCCCCTGAGTGGGACATTCGATGCCCCCTAGCATCGCTGCGGGCGATCACGCGGATTGGGTCTGACCATGTACCCCTTCTCCTCTATTCGGAGAATGAACGTCCTCCTCTGCCGCCACGCTTCCATTTTGAGACCTTCTGGTTGCGCCAGCCAGGCTTCACAGCTGCGGTGGTCGGCCGTTGGCGTGAGGCGAGGGACGCTCCCCATAGGGCCCTGTCAGCCGTTGACTCTTGGCATTTCTGCGCCAAGCGGTCGCGGCAGTTCATGAAAGGATGGGGTGCTAACGTGGGTCGGGACATCCGTGAGCGGAAGAAAGCTCTCCTTAACGACATCCAAGCCCTCGACCTGCAGGCTGACACCACTGGTCTTTCGGCAGACGAATGGATGCTTAGGTACGACTTGGAAGATCAACTCACGGTCATCTACACTGACGAGGAGGCCTACTGGCGCTTGCGAGGTACGCAGAATTGGGTCCTCAAGGGGGACGCCAATACT